GGAGGTGCACTGCCAGTCCCAGCATGGGGAGGCCTGTCCGCCCGCTCCTCCTGCGCAGCGTTGCCCGCAGCGTCGCTGCCCCCTCTGTCCGCTGCGTCGGCGCCTTGCGCTCCTGGCGCCAGGGCCCCGAGGTGCGCTGGCTGGTCCTCACCGCCTGGTGCTGCGCCGTGCCCTTCCGCGCCAGCCTCTCGCCTTAGCCCGCAGCTGCCGAGGATGCTCTGCCACTCCTCGCCATGCTGGACGCAGCACCTCATCAGGTTCGCCTCCGTCACGCAGGCCGGTGGCGCAGGTGCGATCGGGAGCACGCTGCTTAGCGGCCCCCATCTCTCCACCGCAGCCATCCCCTCATCTCCCGTGCCCTTCGCTGGCCTGGGGGGCTCCTGACCTGCTGCACGCTGCCCTGCTGCACCACCATTGCTGCTGGGCTGAGGGGCCTCATCCTCAGCACGTGGGGTGCTCCTCGCCGCGGCCTCGCCCTTGAACCTCAGCACTGAGGCGAGCTGCTCCCGCACCCTCAGCCTGGCTTGCCTCCACCTGCTGTCGTGGTCCCTCTCACAGCACCCTTGTGGTCGAACCTCAGGAAAGGTCCGCGGCTTCTGGACCAGCCTGAAGCGCTCCTCCTCCTGCTGCCTGCGGATCTCGAGAATCACAGCCGAGTGCGGGTACACTGGCGAGGCCTCCACCACCCGCACCCCCAACGCAGCCAGCCCCTTGGAAACCAGGAAGAAGTCGATGGTCCTCCCTGATGCTGCGCACGTGGGCGATGCAGGCCTGACCACCTTGCCATCGAACATGTCGGGCACCCCGCCTGCCTGCAGCTCCTCCTCCGTGAGGTTCCAATCGCCGCCCACTACGAAATCCCTGCGGCACTGCCTCAAACTCCTTGCCAGCCTCCTGAGGCTGGACACGTTGCTGTCGTTGAGGCCGACCCCCGCCTCCAGGTAGATGTTGGCGAGCAGGAAGCCGCTGCGCAGCACGCCTGACACCCAACACAGGTGCACTCGCCCAGCCACCAGCACCGCTGCCTGCTGGTCCTGCACCTCCGCCATGCCGTGGCTCCTCCTCACCATTGTGAGGAGCCCTCCTGTGCTGAGGCCTCCTGCCGCTGACGGCACCGCGGGCGTGCCTCTCGCCCTCCATCCTTGACTCCGCAGCTGCGCCTCCGCGTCATTGCTCCTGCCCTCCAGGAGCCTCGTCTCCTGGACCAGAATGGCGTCGCAGTCCTGCACCTCGCTCACCGCCATGCACTTGCCCAGGTTGCAGAACGCATTGACGTTGACCGTGCAGATCCTCCAGACCCCGCACTTCATGCTAGGACTCCTCCTCCATCTGCTTGACCTCCGTCCGCATCTTCTTGGCGTCACCCAGCAGCTGCTCGGCTGCTTCCCTCTTGGCGGGGTCCTCCATGCCACACGCGATGTCCTGCCACACCTGCGCCGCCGCCTGCGACACGCCAGGTGCCTCCTCCTTGGGAGCGTCCCCTGCTGCGCAGCTGCAGGCACCGCCGATGGCACGGGGACCGCCGCAGCCACAGGCGCACGGGGGGGCGCCCCCGCAGCGGCGGCAGCTCCAGGCAAGCCACTGAGCTCCGCCAGCACCTTCCCGAGCTTCGCGATCTCGTCCCTCGACAGGCGGCCGATCGCCTCCTGAATCGACTCCAGGGAGGCCGCTGGTGCTGCTCTCGGCTCGGCGGCAGCTGCCACCGCCTCAGCCTCCTCGGCCGCCAACCTGGCGCGCTGAGCCGCCAGCGCCTCCCGTGCCTTGGCCGCCGCCTCGTCGCACTCCTTCCGCAGCAGCACCAACTTGTCCGCGAGGCTGGCCGACTCGTTGATGGCTGCCACCGCCCTGGCCTTCGCCTGCTCCAGCTGGCCCTCCAACTTCTTGACCTGCACGACCTTGGCGTCCGCCAGCACCTGGGCCGCCTTGACCGTCTTGTCCTTGGACAGCTCGGCCCCCAGTCCGCCCTCACGCAGCCTCCGCGCCTGCAGCAGCTGCTCGCGGACCTTCGGGGGCAGGAGCGCGGCGGCGAGAGCGAAGTCGGCCTCTGCCATGCACACGAAGCCACAGCGCTGCTCCTCGCTGAGCACCACGGCGCCTCCAGCGTCACGGCCGCCACCTTCTCCACCACGCCACCACGGGGCTCGAGTGGGAGGCTTGCCGCCGCCAGCCCCACGCCCGCCGAGCCCGCCGCCAGCGCCGCCAGGAGCACCACCACCGCCGCCACCTGCATTCCACCCACGCAGCGGAGGAAAGGCGCCCAGCTGCCGCGGCGCTGGCCACCCCGCTGGCTGGCACCCCTTGCGACAGCACGTCCGCTCGGCGAAGTTGTAGTAGTCGCACACCGAGCACTTCCACTTCGCAGGCCACGCCGCACGTCCTCCTCCACGCCCAGCACCCACGCCGCCGCTGCCCGCCATGGCGCGCGTGAGTTTGGAAGGAGGCCGCCCGACTGCCAGAGTGCACACACTCTTGCCTGCGCACGGTAGAGGAGGAGGAGGAGGAGGAGGAGGAGGAGGAGGAGGAAGATCGTGCCACGGTGGCGCCGCCGTGGCCTGGGCGCGGCAGCTCGCCCCGCAAGGGCGTTGCCCTGGGCACGTCCTCCTGCTGGCGGGTGCTGAGCGACAGAGCAAGAACAGTCAAGCAATACTCGAGAATAGTCAGAAGTACAGTCGGGGCGTTGACCTAAGGAACCCTAAATAAGGAACGAGGCCCCTGTTTTGCATAAGTTAAACTTCGACTTCATATCGAGAACCTAAAGATAACCTAAGGCAAGCTGCGAAACACTTAAGGAACACCGAGCCCCCAACGAAAAGGGTTCCTTCTTCAGGGCCCCGAAGTAGTCGACAACTCGTCCCCAGACAATTGTTCACTATGTTTGAGTCTTCTGCCTGTAGAGGGGCATGCCCGACTCCACTCTTCGCTCCTCACGCCCTCCCCCCTCCCCCCGCCGAACCAAAGCACCGAGCACAAACAAAAACGCTGAAAACCAAATGTGCGCCGGAAGCCAGAAAGACACCGAAAACCAAAAGGGCACCGCAAACTACAGGGGCACCGAGAACTAAGAGGGCGCCGACAACCCAAGGGGCGCCGAACGCCCAAGCGGCGCCGAAAACCACAAGAAACGCCGAAAATCCAAGGGGCGCCGAAAACCAACGATGCGCTGAAAACCAACAGGGCGCCGAAGAACTTAAGTGGTGCCGATAACCAAAAGGGCGCCGAAAACCAAAAGGGCGCCGAAACCAACAGAAGCTCCGAAGACGGACAGAGCGCCGAAAACAAAAACGGCGCCGAAAACCAACGGGGCGGTAAAAACCGCAGGGACGCCAAAAACCAAAGAGGCCCCGAAAACCAAAGAGGCGACGAATGCCAAAGCGGCGCCGAAAACCAGCGATGCGCCGAAAGCCAAAACGGCGCCGAAAAACCAAAGACGCTCCGTTAAGCTAAGGGGCGTCGAAAGCCAACGGGCGCCAAAAACGAAAGGCGCGCAGATAGCAGAAGGTCGCTTAAAACCCAAGGGGCGCCGAAAGCCAAAGAGCGCCGAAACCAAAACGGCGCCGAAAACTAAAGGGGCGCCGAACACCAAAAGGGCGCCGAAAACCATAGAAGCGCCCCAGACCAAAGGAGCGCCGAAAACCAAGGAAGCGCCAAAGGCCCAAAGGGCGCCGAAACCCAAAGAGGCGCCGAAAACCAAAGAGACATCCAAAACCACAAGTACCCCGCAAACCAACGTGGCCCCGAATACCAAACAAGAAAAGTAGCTTCGACCCCCCCCCCTCAGCCAGGGCCCTCCAGCTGGAAAAGCCAACAGAAGGAGGGGAGGGGGCGGTAGCTTTGGAAGCCCCCCCCCTTTCGAACCTGGGGGTCGGAAAAAGGGGTGTAAGTAAAAGGGGCGTGGTGCCAATGATCCCGCGAGGTCATCTTCTATCGTGGGTAACATCGCCAGGTCCACGACAGGCACCACACCTCTCCTGGCCATCGCTCGGACGTTCATTCCCTGTGTTTTTTTCGGTTTCGTGCGTGGCTTTTTCGCCAAATGATCCAGGATGCTCCTCGATGGTCATACCCGAAGGGAAAATGCACACGTCCAAGCGATGCCAAGTCTCTATATGTGCCACACCCCGTTCTCCGACCTCCGCATCGAAGGTGGGGCCCCTTCCGCAGCGCGCCACGCACCCGGCGCCGGGCCCCTGCGCTGGGTGCACTGGGCCTCCCGAGGCGTGGGCCTCTCTTAGGCCGAGGCGCCGCCCGCCGCGGACGAGGCTCCGCCCTCCGCCGCCGCCGCCGCCGCCGCCGCGGCGATCGCCGCCCCCGCTTTTGCCAATCGCCGCCTTCGCCGTTGCCGCCCCCGTCGTCGCCGCCGCCGCGGCCTCGGCCGTTGAGCGGGCGACGCGCGGCATGAGACAAACCGGTTTTTGGATGTCGGGGGCGCCTACGCCAGGGCGGCTGGACAATTTATACCCCTACGGTGGCACGCCAAGGTATATACATAGAGGAAGAAAAACGCCATAAACATAAACTCTTGGCGCTCCGCGCGGATGTCTCGGATCTGCGCCGGAGCCCCCTTCTGGCGCCGGAGGCGCCGCCAGGGGGCCCCAGCGCTGATCCAAGAAACCCGCGCGGAGCGCCAAAAGCTTATGTTCACGGCGTTTTTCTCCTTCGAACATAAGCGTTCCAGCCGCCGAGGAACAGGCGCCCCCGGTGACGGATGAGCTGACCTCACACTCCTCGCGCGCGGAATGCTGGCCGCCGTCGCTGGAGCCCCCGCCACGTGCCGTCGTGGCAGTGGCCGTAGTCGTCGTCGTCGTCGTCGTCGTCGTCGTCGTCGCCGTCGTCGTCGTCGTCGTCGCCGTCGTCGCCGTCGTCGCCGCCGTCGTCGTCGTCGTGGTCGTCGCCGTCGCCGCCGTCGTCGTCGTCGTCGTGGCGGCCGCGCGCGTGGCCGACGCCGTAGCGGACGCCGCCGTGGTCGCCCGCCGAGGCGCAGTCAGCCCCCCTGCCGCGGCCTCGCTGTGCGTGTAGAGCGGGTCGACCATGAACATCTGGAGGAAGTTGTGGATGCGGCCGAGGGGGAGGGACCTCGGAGGGAGGACAGGACAGGACAGGCGCCGTGCGCCCCAGGGGGGCGGCCCTCCGAGAGCTCGGCGGGGGCGCCAGAGCGCCGAAACTCAGATGTCGCAGCACATGGTTACTTTACGACCTCGAGCGTGCAGTATTGGCCCCACGGATGCAGTCCTTCCCATGAGTATGAGCATGCAGCGCCATCAAAAGAAGGGGCGCGTTTGCCTCACAAACGTTTGTGCGATGCCCATCCCCTCGGCCCATCACCTCGGCCATAGGAAGCGAAGCGAAACGAACGACGGAGTCGTGCGCGCTCCACTGGGGAGCCCGCCCGTGCCCATCACCGTGGCCTCAGGCATTTTCGGGGGCTCAGGAATGGAGAGCCCCCCCTCCCCCCAATCCCGACCCCTTGAATCGCCGGCTCGGGGATGGGCGTCGGGACTGGGGGTGGGGGTGGGTTTTCGCCCTCTGACATGCGGACGCCCCGGCCTGCCGATCAGTCGGTCCTTTGACCAGGGAGGTTTACGACGCTGGCCTGAGCCACACCAGGCCCCCTCCACTTCCTTTCCTCCCCCGAAGGGAGCTGCACTCGAGGCGCCTCCAGAGGAATGGCGCCCGATTTCGTGTACTGTCCAACACTTGTCCCGGCTTCCTGTGCACGATTCCCCCCCCACACACGGGCACGCCGCTGCGGAACGGAAGGATCGAGGGGGAAACGTCGGGAGGGGGGAGCAGCAAAGAAGCAAGGGCACCTCGGGGGTTGGCACTCAGCTAGAGCTGCAAGACGGAGGCAGGGTGAAGACAACATAAGGTTAGGTCGGGAATGCCCTCTTACAGGCGGACGTTGGAGGAAAAGCAGCCAAGAAAAATCCAACAATAGTAGACACAGTGAAAAACATCGTCCCCAGAGTATTTTTCTGAGTATGTTTAAATTTTCCTCCTGTACCTAAACATAAGATGAGGACACACCGAGTATCTCTGAGCGCTGGTGGGTCCGCTGGTGGATCAGGCGCCGTGCTGCAGAGCCCTCCAGGCTGCTCTGAGGGCGCTCCGGAAACCTCTGGAGCGATCCGTCCTCATCCCCACCCTGGGCTTGTGGATGCCACGACAATAGACACCCTAACAGTCCTGTCATTGAATTCTAAATGTGCTTAAAATGTTGGAACATGTTCAAAACATGTGTTTAAACATGTTCTTTCTTTTTCAACATGTTTAACACATGTTTTAGACATCTAACAGCTATTTGGCAACATGTTTCCTCTCCGTTGATCGTCCTCTGCAATCCTAGGCCTGGTGCGGCTCTGCCTCACTCGACTACCTTCTCCACGCGGGGCGTGGCGCGAGGCGCGGGCCTGCGGTGGAGGCCAGTCCACAAGAGACCTTTCCGCAAGGAACCCAACCCCGAGACCCCAGGACGTCCAGCGGTTTTTGGCGTGGGAGCGTCACGCGTCCACCTTCCTTCCTTCCTTCCTTCCTTCCTTCCTTCCTTCCTTCCTTCCTTCCTTCTCCTCCTCCTCCTCTTCCTCCTTGTCCTTGTCCTCCTCCTCCTCCTCCTCCTCCTTCTCCTCCTCCTCCTCATCCGCCTCCTCCTCCGGTGGGGCCCCGTCAGTGCACCCTGGAGGCAAGCAGGGTGCTTCTTGGCAGGGGCCCCCACCGTATGCCGGGGGGGGCAGCGGGCGATGGCAGGCGGCCGCGCGCTCGCAACGGGAGGGCCCCGCCGGGACCTAGGAGGGGGGACAAGGAGCGAGGGTGGTGTCGGTGAGCAAATACCGCAATAACACCGCGCTGCTGTTAAAGGAATACCGGAACCAAAAACGAACGAGTAACACGCGCAGATTGAAAGACGACGCGATTTTTAACTGATACCATGTATCCAGCTCGATGGACCTACCCTCATTCCAACCAAGCCAACCCGCAAGCTGCCACCCTGGAGACTGGCACGCATCTGGCCAGCTGCCGACACCGCGACTCCGCAATCAGGGGTCGGGGCCTCGCCCGCAGACGAGCGACGGCGAGTCCCTCCTCCCCCGCCCTTCTTCCGTATCCCTCCCTGCGGCTCCCTTCCCCGCCCCAATGTCCCCCTCCTCGTCCTCCCTTCCTCACCCCATCATACCTTTCCCCACCCCTCTTTCCTCCTAATCCTTCTGCTTATTTTTCTTCTTCTTTTTCTTCTTTTTCTCCTCCTCCTCCTCCTCCTCCTCCTCCCCCTCCACCTCGTCGTCCTTCCTCAAGCCACTTGGGCTCGAGACGGGCGACGGAGCCAGCGCTCCACGCCGTCAGCTCGGGCCGATCCCAATACCTTCTCGCGGTGCTTGAGGGACTTCGACCCCCGTCTGCCCCCACAGCATTCGGGTCTCGACGACGAAAGTTGGGATTCAAGCCATGTCAGGACATCGCCCGTGGACCCGCTGCAAGGCCTGCGGCACGTGCGAGTACAACCACAAGCTAGACAGCAAGCGTCCGACCTGCCCGAAGTGCCAGCATCGGGTCAGGCTACACCGCACAAGATCTCGATCGCCCTCAGTCACGTTCGGAGGCGCAGAGATCGTCGAACTGGAGGATCCTGGAGCAGCCACGAACTCCAGGAAGAGCAGCTTCCCCCCCTCCAGGAGGAAGACGACGACCATCACCGACCACCTCCAGCTCGCGCTCGAACAGGCGACCGACCCGCAGCTCCAGGCGATCCTCCAGGCGCAGATCACCAGGATCTCCGCCCAGGACGAGGAGACGGAGACCAAGGGGCAGGTCACCACCGTGGAGGCCATGAAGCAGGCCGACGGGATCTGGCGTGCCGCGGTGAACAGGCACAACCAGCTCGTCGCCAACGTGCTGAAGCTCAGGGAAAGCCTCAACGCCGCCGAGGCGAAGGAGGCCGAGGCGGCGCTCGCAGTCGCCAAGGCCGAGGCCGTCAAGAAGAAGGCGGCGACGGATCTGGCGCAAGCCGAAGGAATAAGGTTTCAAGCGGACAGCAAGGAGCAGCACACGAAGGAACATAGTGCTGGACCAGTCTTCTCCGCGCAGTGGGACCCGCTCCTGTTCCAAGGCCTCGAGGAGCTGGGGTTCGAGGAACACGAGAGGCAGGGGCTGGCGAAGGTCCAGCACGACCTAGAGGAGCTCAAGAAAGCCTTTGACACCAAGGAGCCACAGGTACAGGCGCTGATCACCCGCGCCCAGACTGTCAGGAAGCAGCAGGAGGAGCGGCTCAAGAAGAAGAGGAAGGGCGCCGACGGCACCGCAGCCACAGCGCAGCAGCAGCCAGCGTCGCCCGAGAAGCCTCAGGACGATGGCGGCGGCGCACCTGCAGCTGATGGCGAGGCTGCGGGCGAGGCCGCGGCGAGTGCAGCCGCGGCGGCGGCCGCCGAGGAGCGCCAGCTCAAGGCCGAGGCCTCCCGCCTGCCGGCCGCCAAGTTCGCGGCCCAGGCCGCTGCGGCCGAGGCGACCAAGGAGGGCAAGGACGGCAAGGACATCAGCGGCAAGGGCGACCAGCAGAGCAAGGGCTCAGCGGCCACCAAGGCTGCGTGACAGGAGACGCAGGCGCCCGACACCCAGGGCGCCAGCGAGGCCAGCGACGGCCTCGCCACCAGTACCCTGCTCTACAGCAACGTCACATGCATGGGTGATAAAGTGTGGGATTATCTACTGGCGCGAGGCGACGACTTCTACGGCCTTTCGGAGACGCATGTCGGACCAGCTGATGTGGGCAGGTGGACCGCCAAACCCAGATCAGAGAATCTTCGTTTGTTTCACAATGCTGCTCGACCATCGAAGTTGACGTCCAGCCTTGAAGGGAGATTTGATTCACGTGAATCTGAATCGACAGGGCACGCCAACGAGGGAGGCGAGTGGCTACTAGCTCGGGGCCATCTTCAGGCTCATCTCTGCCATGAAGGGATGCAAGCACCATGTTTGAAAACCCGTCCCAGTTCCAGCCTCGACGGGTTTGTTCCTTGCACGCTGCACTTCCGTGGCTATTCTCTACTAGTTATCATCTTCAATGGGATCTGCAGTATAGGCCTCGCAGGACCCAATTTAGTGCGCCTCAGACGCCTAGGCAGCCCCCTCGCGGCCCTCCAGCTCCCATGGGTCGTCCTTGGGGATTGGAACGTTCCCCCTCAGACTCTGCAGGCCTCGGGATTTTTGTCGGAGGTTGGAGGAATGATCAGGCGCGCTGACGTAGAGTACACATGCGACCCAGGTGGAGGCAAGAAGGCCGCACACCTGGACTACCTCGTTCACAGCTATGCAGCACAGTCATACATGCAGCGAGTAGAGCCCATCCATGATGTACCATGGAAGCCGCACATCGGACTTCTCACTCATTTCGTTTCATCAGGCGAGCAGCTTTTGACCGGGATTCTAGAGCTTCCTCGCCGTCTTCCATCTGCAGCCAAGCCCGCAAAAGCCCCGACCCCTGGATCCATATCGTGCCAGGCCAAGGCCCAACGGGCTGAGAAGGCCGCCAAGGGTCAGGAGCTTCGGGGCCGAACTTTCCAGGCCGTTTTCGGGGACCTCTGGGGGGAAGAAGAGGCCGAGGACGGTGTTTCCACGCGCGCTGGTGACACGTCTGACGGCGACCCTCACCCGCCCGAGTGCGAATCCGACGAAGAGGATCCCTGGGCCAGCGAGACGGTCTTTCAGGCAGCGGCCTCACGCGCCGCCGCATCTTCTGCTGCATCCAGCCCATCCGAGGCGAGCGGTGGAAAAACAGAGCCTGCACCATCGTCCAGCAATTCAGCCCAACGTGTGACCCCCCCCGTAGCAACCTGCTCCCAGGGGTCGGAGTCCGTGCCAGCCAGTAATTCGGAGACGTCTCAGAGCTTAGCCGAAGACCCATCTGATTGCCAGCAGAGTAGCCTTGCCAGACAGCAGCCGACATTTGAAGTGCCCCTTGACCTTTGGCGTGCCCATCGGGAACTCACAGGGGTGCTGAACCCCGACTGCTGCTGCCCTGCCACTGCTGTGGCGCCATCCGTCGCATTTTGGCTCAAGCCTGACACCTCCACATACCTCGGCCGACTGCGCGGTTCCTGGATAGCAGCTGTGGAGGCCACCATCTACGACCACCACCAGCAAGCCCACCTCGGGAGCACCAGAGCACAGGGCCCCGAGTTCCGCGTCACAGCGGTACGAGAAGCTCAGACCAAGCGCGCCGCAGCGCTACGGGACACGAGCAGCTCCTGGTGGACGCGGCTTCACACCACCTTACAGCACATCTATCGGCATCGAGCACGAGCCAACGGACCTCTCCAGCTACGGCAACTGCACGACGCTGTGGATCGGCTTCGACAGGAGGCACCAGGAGGTGCCGCCACCATCATCCGCGACAAGGACGGCATCACGTGGGCCCACTGGCTCAGCATGCTCGAGGCAGTCCGCACCACCCCCGTCGAGGAGCTGGTGGACTACGCGGCTGCGGCGGGCGTGCTAGCCAAGCGAGCCCAACGACGAGCCCTAGGCAAAGCTATGCATGATTTTTGGGAGTGGGCAGTGACGGCGCCAGCTTTGAGCGTCCTGCAACGCTCACCCAAGCCTCAACCTCAGCCAGCTGAATCCAAGCTTGTGGGCACCACCACCTTGGTTCACCCCAAGGACCTACTGGACCACAAGGTCACCTGTTGGCACCAGCTATGGGCCCCAGCAGGACAGGACCTCAGCGGGCTAGACGATCTATTCGACAGGATATCGCAGCGAGTACGAGAACGTGGACTCCCACCCCTCGACGGTGCTGCTGTCCGGCGAGCCCTCCGTCGACAACGGGCCAACACAGGCCAAGGTGCTGACCGCCTCAGCCCCACGGATCTGCTGCGTCTACCCGACGAGGCCTTGGAAGAACCCGCCAGCATTTTCAATACCATGGAATGCTCACATATGTGGCCTCATCAACTCCTACTCACGGTCGGGGTGATGAGGGCCAAGAAGGACAACGGCGACCGCATCATCGGGCTGCTGCCAGAGATCGCACGTTTGTGGCCAATGTGCCGCGAGGACACAGTTCGTGAATGGAACCTGGAGTGCGCAGCTCCGTGGGACGCAGCAGTACGCGGCAACTCTGCTCTCAGAGAAGCCTACGAGAGGGCCCTCCAGGACGATATCTCAGCCCTCGTCCAGGTCCCGCAGGGACACGGGCTCCTGGACATCTCTCAGTTCTACGATTCAATTGACTGGATCGACCTGGGCAGAGAGGCACTGGACTTGGATTTCCCCGCGGAGATCCTTGGCCTTGAGGTCCTCCAGTGCATCGCGCCCCGTGTCTTGACCCAGAGCGGCAGCTACACGCTGCCATTTCAACCAACTCGTTCGATCGTACAGGGGATGCGCTCAGACACTCGCTTCGCGAAGTGCATGACATTCAAGGCCCTACGTCGAGTCACACAAGCACACGCCCGATGTTCACATCGAATCTGGGTTGACGACCTATCTCAACGACTCCAAGGATCCCACCGCGCTGTCCGCCAGGGGCTTCTCAAATGCCTACTAGACACATGCCGCAGCTTACGGTCGAGAGGTTTGCACATAGCGAGGAAAAGTATCATCCTTTGTTCCAGCATGGAGGACGCACGATATGTCGCCCGCGGCCTCGCTCGCCATGGTTTCAAAGTGCAGCCTCGACAACAGGCGGCTTACCTAGGCACAGATCTTGGGTCAGGAGTTCGGCATGCACGGGCAACGCGCACACAACGGCTGCTGAAGCACAGACTCATGCACGCCAAAGTTGCTCGGCTTGCACGAGCCACTCGTCGCTACAAGGTGACAGGCCGCCTCGCCCAAGCGGGAGCCCAGGCGGCAGGAGGCTATGGACATCAACTACACGGCGTCTTCGGCACGCAGATGGTCCTCTTCATGCGCCGCCTGGGCGACGCCCTAGGGCCACGCCTCCAGGGGCGCTGCCTCACGACGCTACTGGACCTTCGAGCTGCTGCCCAGGACCCTGGTCGCAAGTTTCCACGTGAAGCAGCGTATCTATGGCTCAGCACCTGGATACAAGCAGGCCCACTCCAGAAGTCTATCGCCTTCACCTGGCAGAAGGTCGTCTCCCATCTCCGATCACTTCCAGCAGGACAGCGGGCGCGACACATCCGGGGACCACAGTCAGCCATGATCCACTACCTCATGGAGCACGGATGGGACCCGAATGCGCCCCACGAATGGACCCTCCCACCGGGTCTGCAGGGACCTGATGGGCACAACACATGGGAATTTGATGCAGCCCGCCTGACGGGCAACCCCTCAGTTGACATCCCAGACGATCTCCTACAAGACATCGGCCGTAGCACCCAGGCCAGGCACTGGCTCCAGGCTAGTGCCCACTACGGGGGATCTGGAATGGAGCTCGGGATCGACAACAGGTCCTACCGCAAGCTGCTGGACTACCTCGCCAAGATGAAGCACGGCAACAGGCTGTCGGCGCTGATGCCCACGACCGCAGTGGGGGCCTCATGGCCCAAGGGCCGCGTCCGTGAGCAGACCACCGCCATCACCGACGGCTTGTGCCCACGCTGCCAGCTCAAGAAGGAGACAGCATTCCATCGCACCTGGGAATGCGACCAGCACAAGAGTTGCCCAGCCTACGACGCCACCGAGCACCTCGTGGGCGATGCGACCGCACAACAGGACATGTACGAATGTTTTTGGACCCGAGGCTTGATCCCGCAGGCCTGGACAGCGGTCCCACCACCTACGCCAGCACCCGACTGGAGCGAGTATGGCATCAACGCTTTCGCGCCCGACTGCTTCGAGGTCGGACGGCGAGGACCAACACTCTACATCTTCGGCGACGCCAGTGGAGGAGCAGACACGGCATCGCCAGTCCTACGACGCGTGGGCGTGGCCATCACCGCCTTCACGGATTTGGACGTCAATGGTATGGAGCTGCAGATGGCACTGTGGGGACCACTGGCGGGCTCCCGCCAGACAGTGGTAAGAGGCGAACTCTCCGCCCTCCTCCTCGCCCTGCAGGTGACTTTTTACGACGTGATTTTCATCACAGATTGCGAAGGAGTGTATTTGAATTTTCACAACGGACACCCGTCCCGACCCGAAGGGCCCAATGCGGACCTTTGGCACCAAGTGGGACAGGAGCTTCGGAGACGGTCAGGAGATTTCGTGGTGCTGCTTGTACGGTCGCACCAAACAGCAAATGACATCCTCCGTGGGCATGCGAATCGTCCTCTCACCTATGGCAACGCTGTGGCAAACGAGCTAGCCAGCATCGCAGCCGAGCAACATCGCGTGCCTAAGCAGATCAGACAGCAGATCCAGCTAGTAGAGAACAAAGCTTACCTCGTCCGCATGCGCCTCTTGAGAAGTACCCTAGAGGCCCTGGAGTTTGAGCGAGCTCAGAAGTTAGTTGCACTGAACGGCCCCGCAGGTAGTCTACAGCCTCGCAGAGCCAGAGTACAGCCCGTTAGACCCCCTGCCCCTGCATTGTGCGCAGCTTTCGCCTCCGCCCATAAGTTGGATGAGACAGGCCGCAAATGCACAGTATGTAAAGGGTCAGCCACTTCAGCCACCAAAGTAGAACTCTATATATCCGAATGCTTTAACCTCACTAATATAGATGGCACTTTTTATGAGACCCCCCAGGGAAAGCAGGTACACGTAGCAGGGGGTTGGACTCATTTAACCCATCGTCCGAGGTTCCACGCTGGGCTGGGCAGTTGGTTTTGTTCTCAATGTGGTATGTTTGTCTCCCTTCAGATGGGGGAGCTAGGCCGTGAATGCGAACCCCCAACCGCCACTGGGTTGGAGTATATACGACGCATCAATTCGGGTCTCTGGCCCAAGGCTCTCAGCCAGGCTGAGAAGAACCAGAGGAGTGGGCACAAACACCCTCAGTAGGTGCTGGCGGACTTTTATTCATATCGCTACGCGATCAGGCAGAGTCTCCAGAGTCACCTCGTCGTCCTCCTCCCACTCCCCCGCCTCTCCGCCTTGCCTCTCTCTCTCTCTCGCTCTCGCTCTCTCTCTCTCTCTCTCTCTTGTTCTCTCCCTCCCTCTCTTTCTCTCTCCCTTTCTCGCCCCCTTCCCGTGGACGATCGCAGGCCGAGGGGAGGGGGGAGGGGGGGGGACGTCCAATGCGTCAGCATGCCCTGTATGAACGCCTCGCACGCCTGGCGAGTGGGCGGGTTCCGCGCGCGTGGCCACCGCAGTCACAGGGACGGGTGCCGTCGTCGAGCGGCTCCGCTGGCCGGCGGCAGAGAGGGGAAGAGCGGAGATGGAAGTGAATAGGGAAGGAGGAGGAGGAGGAAGAGGAGGAGGAGGAGGAGGAGGAGGAGGAGGAGGAGGAGGGAGGAGGAGGAGGAGGAGGACGGATGGGTTTGAGGTGGACGAGGAGGAGAAAGCGGACGTATGATAGAGAAGGCCGTGCCGTCCTCCCAAGTCCATGGGCCGTCCGCCCGAATGAACCCAAGCCGTCCTGTGAGATGCTGAAGAAAGACGAAGAGGAGGATGAGTGGGAGAAAGGGAAAGAGAGAGGGAGGAGGAGAAATAGAAAGGGAAGAGACAGGGAGAGGGAAAGAGAGAGAGAGAGAGAGATAAAGAGAGAGAGAGAGGGAGAACCAAACAACTGAGGAGGAGGAGGAGGAAGAGGTAGCAGGATAATGGTGGCCCGTGGGGGAATGACCCGAGCCGCTGGGTCCTGGGACAGAGGACGACAATCATGTCGACAAACGGCACTTTGCCAGAACGCTCTTGAATGAAATCTGTGGGGGGTCTCTAATGGTCAGCGCGACGCCACACTCCGACTGCTCCTGGGCGCCTCAAGAGCCCCCTGGGATTGCCAAGAGACCCCCTGGACACCCCAAAACGACCCCAAGAGGCTCTCGGAAGAAACCCAAAGAACTCCGAGAGGCATTCATGAGGCTTCTGGCCTTTTTGCTTGCCTTCTTCCTCCTCCTACTCCTTCTCCTCCTCCTCCTCCTCCTCCTGCTCCTCTTCCTCTCCCTCCTCCTCCTCCTCTTCCTCCTCCTCCTCCTCCTCCTCCTCTTCCTCATCCGCCTATGTCTCCCCCTTCCTTCTCCATCCTTCCCCTCCCCCTCCCTCAGCCTCCCTCCTCCTCCTCCACCTCCTCCTCTTCCTCCTCCTTCTGCTCCTCGGATTCCTCCTCTATCCCCCCCCTTGGGCCATGTCGTTTGACCCGGCCCTTTATTGCAGTGGGAACGCCGGACGCCGTCCAAAAGACCCTAGCGGGCTACGAACTAAAATGCGCAACCGGAGGGGGGAAGAGGAAGGCAACGAGAGGACAGCGGAGGGAGGAACAAACAGGAGGCGGGCCTCGCTGCCGGTCCGAGGAGGGCGCCGTCGATTGGGGGGGAAGCCGCCAGCCGGAGTGCAACGCCCAAGTGGCGGGGAATTCTGGTTGGGCGACGCCGCGAGCGGGCCGGAAGCCAGTGATCACCGGCTCGTAGATGCATGCGCCAGGACCAACGGTCGCAACGTCACACGGGTAGCGGGCGTATCCCACGCGCCGCCAGGCGTCGACCAACTCACGTGCAGGCGCTCAACGGACCAAGGTCCGGATCGCCAGACACCGTCGAAGACTGATATCGAGTCCGCGTACCGCGAAGCGGGGGATGCGGGCGGACGCGGGCACACCGGGTAGGGACCGATCCAGGCGACCGAAGGCCCCGGAGCGCGCAATGGAAGCGTGCAGCCGCGAGCGTGCTGGATCCCGCTGGTGGGGTTACTTTTTTGCGTCGCAGCCGCAGGCGAGAGCGCCAGCGGCGAGTCAGGTCAAAGCGGGCTACGCAAAGACTAACTAGGCAGAATAACTGGTGGGATTACGCGAAGCGTCGAGAAGAATTAAAAGGCTAAGCACAACAATGCGAAGTATAAGAAAAACAGTCACAGCAATACTACCAACCATGATGAGCACAGCATCTCTTCCTGGCGCGCGGAGCGCGCCACCGCCACGGGGGGGGGCCCAGTGCCCACCCAAGGAACCCACGCACGCCTCCGAACGTCCATGCCTGTTGCACCTCTTGCTTTTGTAGAGGAGCGCGTTCCACTACTCGCAATGTCGCTACTCGCAGCTGGCCTGGATCCGCCGCAGGGAATGAAAGATTCGTGACAAAAAGGCAGACGTATGGTTTTTCGGACGTTTGCGAGTGGGCACCTTGCGAATAGTGGGACGCGCTCGGCGAGGAGAGCAAAAAGCAGCACCCGCCGACCCCCGCGTGCCGGGGGCGAGAAGACGTGTCAGACATTTGGCTCTAGGCCGGGCGTGTCCCCCTGCAGGCGGATTTTTGACGGCAAAAATCAGAAATAGTCGAAACATGCACACAGATGGCAAAAAAGAATAGAAAAGACCATCCCCGAACTATTTTTTTTTCTTTTGAATATTTTTAGGTACTTCTCCTGTAGAGGGACAGGCCCGACGTAAATCTGGCTGTCACCTTCTGCCGTTCTCCCTCTCCTGGGGTCCAAAATCCGGTTAGATGAGGGGGGGGCTTGGACGCCCGAAATGGGCACGGAAGGAATGGGTACGATACCCAACAACAAATGTTGTCCCAAACCAACAGCGGCCGCTGTTGGGCAGGCGGCCTTCTGTCTCGAATGGACACAGGCCGCGGCGGCGTGGACAGCGGATCTTGTTCAAAATGAACAGGAACTGCTGTTGGGCATAGTACCCATTCTTTCCGTGCCCATTTCGGGCGTGGGGGGAGGGGGACGAGCTCCCCGGCGCACCGTTCCTGGCCCGGCGAGCCTCCAAATCCACCCGCCACATCCTCCGAGAAGCCCTTCAAGATGGCTCAGGAAGTCACCACCCACCAAACCACCCCAACCCAACCCGAGGGCCCAAATTTATTCTCGATTTCCAGTGGGGGGGGGGTCGGGGAACATTGAAAAAACACATGGAACCCGTACCCCCCCAACCCGAAATTCGATTCAAATTCGGGTCTTCGGGTTGGGTTGGGGTGGTCTGGTAGGTGATCAGGAAGGGCGGAACATTCATGATAGCCTGAGGATGGCCGATGAGGCCTGGAAGACGCCCAAAGACGACCCAACAGGCCCCGCAGAACGGCACCAGCAAGCGCAGATCATGACATTCCAATGGTGTTGCATGGTTTCCGCGTTCTTTCCTTTACAAGGGTTCCTGAGACAGCCGAGAAGCCTTTCAGAGTGGCCTAAGACGGCTGAAGAGGCCCCAAACAGGGCCCAGAGATGGTCTAAGAGGGGCCCGAGACTGTCCAAAAGGCCCCCCAAAACGACAAAAAGGCCGTTAAGAGGGGAAACTCGTAAAAGTCCTGGGAACCATTCCCCTGAAGCTGCCCCCCAAGACACCCAACATGTCCATACATGCCCCAGCTGGCCCCCCAAAGCACTCAAGAGCGCCTGAAAACGCTCCCGAAAGGCGTCCCAGAGGCCTCCAAGAACACCCCCAAGAAATCGGAAGCCGCACATTTCCTCTTCTGGGAATTGGGGGGGGGATATTGTAAGACTCTCG